CCGAGGCAGAGTTGCTCTGCCCCGGGCTTCCTGGAATCAGCTGCTGATCAGTTTCAGCAGCAGCTGACTTGGGGACACCTGGGGTTCTTAAGTTGAATCTGTATGTAAGTCGGAACTGGTGTCCAGACTGATCAGTTTCAGCAGCGGCTGAATCTGGACGCCAGTTCCGACTTACATACAGATTCAACTTAAGAACAAACCTACAGTCCCTATCTTGTACGTAACCCGGGGACTGCCTGTATTTCATCTTATCTCTGTCTTATCCATAGGAAACAATGACCATAGGCATGTCATCATAGTGCTTGTCAATTTTCTGATAATCTCCTAGGTAGAAATAGCATCTATTCTCATCAAAGTAAGGCGTTAATTAAGCTCATACATGATCAGTGATGATAAAATCGTATTTGATTTTATATTAATTCAGCACTGAAGCATTTCAGCAATGGAATCTGAAACCTGTTTTAGGAAGAAAAGATTAGCACATTAACTGAAATGGTAATATTCAATTCATTACCAAAATAATAATGCTCACAATGATTACATAACCTTTTTGCGACTTTATCAAATTAATTTTGATCTCTTAATTTCAGAGTGAAAAATACTGTTCTCTCTTCCTAGGGCTACAGAGATAGAAATGTAGCCGTGTTAGTCTGGTGTAGCTGAAACAAAAAACAGGACTGTGTAGCACTTTAAAGACTGACAAGATGGTTTATTGGGGGATGAGCTTTCGTGGGCCAGACCCACTTCCTCAGATCAAATAGTGGAAGAAAATTGTCACAACCATATATACTTTGGTATATATGGTTGTGACAATTTTCTTCCACTATTTGATCTGAGGAAGTGGGTCTGGCCCACGAAAGCTCATCCCCCAATAAACCATCTTGTCAGTCTTTAAAGTGCTACACAGTCCTGTTTTTTATTAAGGCTACAGAGTCTTTATAAATGGACATTTAACCTGCTGGTAGTTCTCTTGCCTGTTCCACTTCTGGGGGGAGAGGAAATCCACAAAATATTGATAATATAAAAGAACAGTTATTTCATTAGCATGTAAAGAAAATATATATTTGGTGCTGACTGCCAGCACTGACCCAGTTGTGTAATATAGACGTGAACAGGTAAGAGGTTTTGTTTTCCAATGTGACTTGCAGTATTTTTACATCCACAGAACTGCATGTAGGCACAGTCACGAAGAGAGTTATGTGCAAGTGGAAAATCAGAGGTCCCTTCTAAAAATCAAGCCCAAAATATGCCAACTCCATTAAGCTATTAGTTCTTTGTCCAGTATTCCAAGCACTGTTACCTGAGAGAAACAATATCCTCTGTATTTGAGAGGACTTACAAATTTATAATACTTCCTGATCCTTTTCCTAAGCCAATAGCTTCAAATGACTTGAGAGTAAAGTCCTAGCTTCGCTGTACTAAATGAGAGTTTTGCCATTGACTTTAGTGGGGCCCGAATTTCATCCCTTGTTTTTTTTTAGGATGGTATCAGCGTTTAATATTCAAAAATCAATTGAGTATAACTATCTTCCCACCCTTCAAAAATCAGTCAAATTCTATACAGACTGAGGGAAAGTATCTGCAGATTTCTATTTTCCAAGCTCCAAGGGATGGATAAGGGGGTATTATCCTGTTTGACAAACTTCAATAAAATATTTACTTTGTACCATTCTCATAAATCTTTAAAACCAAGAAATGCCTTTCTGTCCTAAATTATTGAACATGTATTCCTGTGCATTTAAGCATCTGTATTTAAAACTCATGCAGTTGTACCTTCACTTGCCATCAGTAACTCATTCTTTTGTTTCTTCTAAGGTATATTACCCAAACTTGGGATGGATGTGTGTTGATGCCACTGATCCAAGGAAGGGAAACTGGCTGCGATATGTGAACTGGGCTCTTTCAGGAAAGGAGCAAAATCTGTTTCCTTTGGAGATCAACAGGACCATTTACTACAAAACCTTAAAGGTAGCTCTGTCCATTCATGAAATATCTGAGATTACTTTTTGATATCCATTTCTTCCTCTACATTCAAAACCCTGTTTTATTTTTGTACTTCCCATCTTAGAAATCATATTCTTGAACAATGAGAAATTGTACTTAAAATGTCAGTTCCAGCAGTCCAAGGTGTCTTTTTTTCCCCCCTCTGTGAATAAAATTGCAAACCACTAGTACAAACTGAGATAGGTATGAACACTTGTATTTGGGCTCGTCAATGGTTTGATACAGCACAAGTGTCAATATTGAGCTATAGCAAGTCACTGCTGGTGATAACTATTTTTTTAATTTCCAGGGATGCTCAAGGCACACACATCATTACTCAGCATAACTTGTCTGGTTGAGATGGATTCTGTCAGACAGTAAAAATAAATCCATGGTACCTATTAGTCTTTTTGTCATTAAACAGTTTGTGAAAATTTTGTATTTTTCTCCTCCATTTTTTCATTTCATAATGCATAAGCTTTAACAACTTTCATATCCCCAACTTTAAAAAAAAAAAAAGCAGAGCTCTGATTGCTTACATATACTGTATGTAAGAAGATCCACAAGAAAAATTGTAGTTGCTCGTGCATTTTTCCTAGCTTCAAACTTCTTACTCAACCGTGCCAAATACAGAGTGTTATTTGCAAAAGAAATCAACACCTTAATCTGTGATGATGGAAAATACTTGACCATTGGAACAATTTATCAAGGGTCATGGTGGATTCTCCATCACAGATAATTTTTAAATCAACATTGTTTTGTTTTCCCTAAAAGTTATCCTCTAGGTCAGGAATTATTTTTGTGAAATTCTGTTCTCTGTGTTACATGGATATTAGAACAGATGATCACAATGATCTTTTTCTGGTCTTGAAATCTATGAATCTATCCAGATTTTGAAAATTTTGTGTTGAATTCTTGCAATGTTATTGCACAATAACTGTTCATTGAGGGGAGAAAATATTTTGCAAAAAGACAACTGATAGCATGGCCGTTATGCATCGTTGGAGGAGGATTTAATCAAGGTCCACTTAATACACATTTTAAATCCAGATGTATGTCTTGCTTTTGGAACTTCCCAGTAAATGGGACTAGCTAATATAGGGTTTAGCTTACTCTGCTGCCTCCCTTACTGACAAATAATTAAACCTAAGTTGCCAGCTATGCTGATGTTTACAGACACATCTGAAAGCATTTGTTTCAATAGCATTTGCTCTTCCTGTTCCTATAGATCCTCTTGAGAAGTAGGACAAGGGGCAAACTCCAATCTTTCTAATCTCAGTTTATACTTGAAGCTAAGCAGTTTTAGTACTGTTACAACTGTCAACATTGGGTCAGTTTCCTAATATAATTTAGATTTGAGAGTCACTTAGCACAGATTACAATGTACACTAAAAATAATGAGTATTTGAATTAATCTGATGTTTTGTTTGGAATGGACAGAGATTACCAATGTAGCAGTAAAGGTAAATAAAACAGGTGTTAAATGAAGCTTGTCTGATCCACAATATTACAAGATCTAGTATTTTGTAGAATTGTACAATTACCCAAAATGGTTAACAATATTACAAGATCTAGTATTTTGTAGAATTGTGCAATCAGTGATAGTTAGACTGCACAATTGTAAGAGCCAGATTCCCAAAGTTATAGTACTGCAAAGAAAAGCAAGCAAATATAGCTGCAGAAAGCCTTGAGACTTTAGTATCCTATAGAAAAGCATTTCAAACCTTTTGAAGTCTCAGTCATATCACTGCACTAAATTATTTAACATTCAAAAATCATCTTTTCTGTGAGCAATCACATAGAAAATCTATATTTATTTTTTAAAGTAGAAAGTAACACATTAATTAGAAAAAAGTAAAACTACTCATGTATCTTCTTGAATGCAAAGCTTTTTTTCCACATCATTTACTGTGCCTGAAATGATCTCTTTCTTAATGTGCCTTGATCTATTAGGTACAGTTCATCCCTACTCTGGTGTCAGACAATGTGTTGTTGTTGTTATTTTGTAATGTAATAAATACATAAAACGGCATTATACAGATTTATGTTCCTTAATGAAATGCTCTTTAAATTTAATTCCCATTTCTTTTTGCTTACATTTTCTCTAGTGATCAGTTATCCAAGCTCTTTTTGGGGAGTTACTTTGTCCTTGTATTTAAAGAGGATGGTACCACTAGTTTTATAAAAAAAAAAAAAGAGCCCCATAACTTCAAACATCTGATAAAGTGGGCTCAATCCTATGAAAGCTTATGTCCAAATAAATGTGTTGGTCTTTAAGGTGTCACTGGACTTCTCATTGTTTTTGCTGAAACAGATTAACACGGCTACTACACCTTTGAAACTTGGTTCTATGAATTTATTAAGAGTGCTGAAATACTTTCGGTATTAGATGGAGCGGTCTTGCAGTAAATATGGGTTCATGAATATTTGGAAGGGTGTGCTCTCTTTTCTCCTAGAAATTTTGCAAAATGTGGTGGGCTTTGTGTGTGTGGTGTAGATTTTACTAACCTAGGCACACAATTTGCGCCCCTACCCCAATGATTGATGATGATGTATAAAACTAAGGAGATTTTATTCTTGGAAATAACAAAATTAAATAATTACTCTAGAAAAGTATTTTGCAATGATGGTGTGTGTTTACATAATCTTTACTTCATTGTTTTTGGAATTCAAAATAGTAGTACATAACTGGCTAAATATTATTCCCACTTAATATTCCCAAGTTTTGAAGTTTTTTCCATGGTTTTCTGGATTTTTAGTCTGACTCAAAACTTAATTTCAAAATATTGGCGCATTGTTGTAATGGTTTTGTAAACATCAAGCCAAGATAAGCAAAGTCTTGTCTGTCTGAGCATGTTTGTTGAATAGGGCCTCAGAGCTATGTAGGTCTTTCATCTTCTTCCTATTCTGTTATTAGATAATAGCATATTTTCTCCTTGGGGACTTTCCATTCTAATGAGATCTAGGATTGAATATTAAAATGAGAAAAAGTGAACAACTTTTTCCACCCTTTCATAAGGCAGTACAAAACTAGGAGGAATGTAGGCTGTTTAGTGTAGGTGCACATATGTAACTGGGAGGCACTTCACCCCAACAATTTAAATTTTTAATTGGTTTCCAAATCAAAGTAATTAAAAAAATATTACTGTATTTAATAAAGGGAGTTAAAGTTCACATTAAAGCTTTCAGAGAAAAATTCACACAATTTGGTACTTAACACTTTGTCTTCAAATATTAACTAATAATTTGCAATGAAAACTCAATTTGAAGAAATTTCCTAAATCAGCTTGATTAAAAAAAATGAGAACAACTTCTGGTGAAACAAATTTTGTTCATGGAGGATCTCATTCTATAAAGTTACTCTGATTTTCTATTTATAGTACCTTAAGTACAACACATAAGCTTAAGAGCTTGATTTGTAGTGCCACAAAAGTAAACCAAATAATGGAATTTGGTACTGTATTTTCATTTGTAAACACTACACACAAATACAAACACCTCCACCCAAAAAGCTTCATTATAATAATCATCTTTAATAATAATAATTCATAACACTGTGCTAGGTACTGTATAAACACATACGAGACAGTTTTTGTCCTGAAGAATTTCCAGTCTAATTAGACAAGATAGATGATAGTAAATGCTGGAAAATGACTTCTATCATCTCTCATCTTCACAGTTCTAGAATGTAAATCCAGAACTGTTTAAAAAACACAAAACAAATATGTATCTTTTGGTTAAATTGTACAGTAAATGTAAATCAATGGATTATTTTACAATTTAAATGGATATTAATACTTTGGGGGGAGGGGTGAATGGAGTTTTGTTTTCACCTGGTGCAGTGGTTTTCAACCTGTGGTCTATGGACTTCCAAGGATCCACAGGGCTCAAAACAGAATTTCAAATCTTTTAGGGGTCTGCAAATGAAAAAGCTTGAAAACCACTAATGTAGTTAGTTGTCTTCAGCTAAGAAGAGAACACTACAGGTTAAGGGCAGTGTTCCCTCTAAGCTGTGTGTTTGTGCAGCCATTCAGGAGAGATTTCAAATGTCATGCAGCTTATCAGCCCACAGGTAGGTTGTTTCTGCCATGGTGCACATTGGCACATACCTGTACATGGATGGAAAAAAATCCACACATGAATTAAAAAAATTAGAGGGAATACTGGTTAAGGGAATGTGCCCGAAGACAATGCATCACCTTAACTTTGCCCTGCTAGGGATGTCATACTTAACATGTAAAGTTTTAGGAAACTCTTTCCTCCCAACCCTATTGAATATCAAATCTAATAGTTTTGGGAAAAGGTGTTTAGTAAAGATATGTTAGTAAAGCAATTGTGAAGAAGTCTGAATTTGGGTTGCAATGTGTGGTCCTTAGTGTTATGGTAGTTGTAGTAATAATTCAGGTGTATGCCTCTCTGGGAAGGAATAGAAGGGGTGTAGTTGTAGTAATAATTCAGGTGTATGCCTTTCTGGGAAGGAATAGAAGGGGTGTGTTGTTTGATTGCTTTGTTTAACTTTTAATTTCCTTGCTTCTGTGCATTGTTCATATAAGTTGTGTTTTGCAATCCTTTTCTGTTCTTATGAAGAACTTACAAACAACAAAGTTCTTTCTGTATTTTTTCTACATGTAACTTTCAAACTTTGCAATATCCTGTACGTAATGAGAACCACCACTACTATAATGTACACATGCTTCTTGCTGAATTATGCATTTACTCTTAAAATACAATATTAATTTTTGCTGTCATCAAAATTTAAGAAAGTAGCTCCAGTAGATAAATTTTAGATTTTTTTATGTTGTTTTTAGTGAAAACTCTTATACAGGAATGTTCTCTGATCCTTGCCTCCTGTTTTCTAGATATTGTTGTAAGCTTAATCTACATCAAAATCAAGTGACCATGGATTTCCTCAAAGTAAAACCCTTGTTCTAATTAGTATTGCTAATATGGGAAATGTTCTACTGTATAAGGTTGGACTGATGAAGGCAGGTCACATCTTAATTTGGCAGGACAGGGTCAGACGACTTGATTTAGCTACTGATTAGCAACTCAAACACTAAACTCAAAAGTGTGCGTGGGTTAGGGGTGGGTTCCATGGACAGCCAGCCATGGAACTTACAAGTTGCATGCTTAACACAGCACTGACTTGTATTGCTCTTTGTTGTCAACCCCCAATTGTAGATTATTTAGCTTGGAGCAGGAACATTGTCTTCATTACTGGCCACATAGCACCACCCCACTGACATTGAGCAAATATTTTACCTAACACTTATTCCATCATGGCTCCAAAACTAAGAATGGAACCCAAAATTGTAGGCCACTATTATATTCAAAGTTACACTTGTTTAACTACATATTTTAAATCAGTTTACATTTGTGTAAATTTCTATGTAGCTGCTTACATTGCTTAAAACCTGGGATATATATTAATACAGGTTAATCTGGTTGGCATTGGCCTTACATTTTACTTATGTGAATGTGTAAAGTATAATGGTCACTACAGTTTTACACATAGATTTGCTGATAAGCCTTTTACTTAATTGAAAAATGTATATGCTTTGGAATTTAGCAAATTGGGAAAACAATGGCTCGGATAGCTTAAGAAAAACTATAGTTCTCAAAATAGTGTACGTATTTTAAAAATCATGAGATACTTATCCATATTAACACTTTATGTATATATGATTAGCTATGTCACAATGTATAAAGCGAAGCTAATCCCTTCATATAAAAAACTTGAAACCCTTTATACATTGTTACAGTATTCCCATTTATTGTTAAAAGAATTTTGTCAGTAGACTTTGCAACTAATGAATGCTAAGCTGTGCATGTCACATCTTGTAGACAAGAGATTCTGTTTGTAAGTATGAAAACAAACTTACTTACAGAGAGAGGGGAGTTGGCAAACGTAGCAAGCAGGGGGTGTAGCCCGCTATTGTTCGCCAAAAAACTTAAACAACAAATGGTACCATAGAGCAGTGATCACCAAAGAGTAAATCAGGATCTACTGGTAGATCTTAGAGACTCTGATAGCCTCTTGGCCAAACCAGTCAGGATCACCTATCTCATGCCAGCACTTCAGCTGCCCTTCCCTCCCCCCCCCCCCCCCCCCCCCCCCCTCCCCTGGAGCTGTCTTCCCCACACCCGCTTGCTGTGCAGGACAGAGGAGGGGGTGCTGATGTCAGGGTAACCCCCTTGCACCTTGTATTCTATCTCTACAGAATGGAGGGGGGCACAACAGGACTTGGGATGGAGTTTGCTAGCTGCTTTTGACTGGTACAGGGCCAAGGCAGAGGTGACCCTGCCTTAGCTCCACTGCACCACCACCCAGGAGCCACCTGTGATAAGCCGTGTCCAGCTGGAAACTGCATCCTGAACCCCTGCTCCAGTCATAAACCCTCTCCTGTCCCAAGCCCCTCCCCTAGCTCTGAGCCCCATAGACCCAGACTCCCTTACAGAGCCTGTACGCTGAACCCGCTCCTGCACCACAACCTCTGCCCCGGCTCAGCTCACAGCCCCTCACAGTCCGAATCCCTTAACCCCAAACCAGAGGCTGCACCCCCTCTCTCGCTCCTGCCTGATGAAAGGAGGGAGGATGGAGTGAGCAGGGGCAGGGCCTTGAAGAAGGCGCACAAAGGAAGTGCGGCAAGAGCAGGGCTGGCCCACAACATTTTGGCACCTGAGGCGGGGAGCTCAAATGATGCCCCCATGTCCCCTAGCTTGAGCCAGCAGCAGACACAGTTTTCTACACTTTGGGTCCTAGTGGCACACCTCCTCCTTCTCCTCCCAGTCTGGCACCTGAGGCAGTTGTCTCAGTTCACCTCATGGTAAGGCCAGCCCTTGGCAAGAGTATTTGGCTTTGAGGTAGATCCTGGATTGTACTTAAATTCACAAAAGTGATCTTGTGCTTAAAAAGCTTGGAGACCACTGCCTTAGAGACTAACAAAAAATATAGATAGTATCATAAGCTTTTGTGGGCACAAACCACTTCTTCATCTGTGGGCACAAGCTGAATTGGGTTGTGCCCTCAAAAGCTCATGATACTATCTATATTTGTTAGTCTCTAAGGTACCACAGGAGCATTTATTGTGTTCAAAGCTTTTTAGTTACAGACTAACACTGCTACTCCTCTGAGACTTTTATTCGCAAATGATTTCCACAAAATCATCACACCACATTCATCAGTTTAGCAGGATGGGGGACTGTGAGTAAACTCATGGTTGGCACTGCACTAGAGGAGAACAGGAAATTCTGCATAAACAAATGTCTTTACAAGCCCCAAAGTTAGATCTGATCACAGTAAAATATGGATGCCTAGCTGGAACCTTGCATCTACTGAGTTCTTCTAGTGTATGAGGGCATAATAGGATTTCCCCCTCCTTTGGCTCTGCTGAAACTTAAAATAATAACTTGAGATCCCCTTAGCTCTAACCTAATTACTTTAAAATTATAAATTATTTCTGGCACGATATTATTCTTCAGCTATGGAAAAGGATGGTTTCAGGAAAGGCATTTGTATCAAGGACTAATGAATGGATTTAACTCCTACACTGAAGCAGAATTGTTCTGAATAGAGAAATGCTTATGAGATAATTTGAAAAATATAAGCAGAGGTATTTCCCTGTTACCCTGCTCAAGCTGGGAAAACCTTTGAAGAGAGTCACTAAAAAATTATGATCCTGATTATTCTCGTTAAGACTACATACAATTATCAGTAAATTATTATAATGAGCAGCATGGTGATGGCACTGAAATACCAAAGTCGTAATTGTAATGATTTGTGTTTAGTTCAATTTCTTGTTTCACTCTTTTTCTTTTTTGAGTTTGTGTTGCATAAACTCTTAGTAAAAATGTGGAATGGTGCACAGTTCTCTGTTTGGTACTGAGTCCTGCCATGAGGGCAGAGGACTGGACTGCATGACCTCTCAAGGTCCCTTCCAGTTCTAGTGTTCTATAATTCTATCTGTGGGCTTAATTGGGGGTGGAGGGAGCAGAGGGCTCTGAAATCTGTAGTAATTATCTTACATTTTCCTCTTGTTTCCTTCCTCTGCATAAACTTTTCCTGTAAATGTATTCTTAAATTTAAGTTCCAAACTGTTAACTTCAATAGATGGCTGTTCCCTATGGTTTTCTATATTTCTTATTATTTTTTGTATTGCAGACAAGACTGTTGTTTGTGTTGTGTAAATAGTTTCAATTAGCACTATTAAAATGAAGGAAATATTTAGTATCTGCTTAATTTAAAATATATGTTAGAGAGTTTGTGAATCCAGAGTTGCGAAATTACATGTTTCAAATATTTTCTCTCTCTAATTATATGCAACTCATACGTAGAAATGTAAGCACAGTTAGTCCTCAGTAAAAGTTTCTTGGCTTAACATGAACTTTGAAACACATTTTAAAATTCGTTTGATAAGAAACAGTAGATTGGGAGGAAATACTTTCTAGATTACCTCGTGAAACAAGGTGTCAGCATTTCCCCTGCTAGGAAGAAAATATGGTTTACCAGGCTATCTGCATACTGTATCTTAATTTAAGATCTTCTGTTACCTACTCTCTCTCTCTCTCTCTCATTTTAAAGCCGTACCTTCCTTTTTAAGAGCAGAGCCCTCTTTTACAATCTTCTTCCAAAAGGCAGTATTTTCCGCATCCATTGCCGGGGGATCAGAGAACTGTATTGGTTCCGTGAGGTTTAAAGAAGAGGAGTAGTTTTCCATGTTGATTCCTTTTTTGCAACTTGTGTCTTCAGCCAGGGCTCGGTGCTACTGTCTTTGACACATTGAGTCCTCCTTCCAGCAGAGGGATTTGCTGCAAAACCTTTTTTCTTCCTCTCTCGGTTGCTCTGCGGTGCTGCAGCAGAGCCTGCCTTGCACAAGCCCAGCCTGGAAGGGTTAAAGAGTTCTTCCTGTTTGGTTAGGCAGGCAGTTAGGAAATATGTTCTTAGTGCAGAGTACAGCTGTTTGCAATCCCCACAGCAAGCTCCACGCCCTCTGGCCCTGCGCCTGCTTCTCTGCCTTTTGCTAACAACCCTGCCTCTGATTGGTGTTGCATTTGTCTCTTTGCTTTCCTCCAGCCAATTGAGCCGGGCGAAGAGCTGTTAGTGTGGTACAATGGGGAAGACAACCCAGAGATAGCAGCTGCTATTGAGGAAGAGAGAGCCAGCAACCGAAGCAAGAAGAACTCCCCGAAAGCCAAGAAAGGTAAGAGCTTGCCTCTCGTTCCTCCCCATGCCCTGAGCCCTGGAAAAGGAGGAGATCGCTCCAGATCGACCCAGAAACTTGCGCCGGGAGCTGGAGTGAAACTTACAAACTTTTACCGATCCTGCCTGCTCGATTAGTAATCACTGCAGTACTTTTCAGCGAGGAGTGGCGTTGTAGGAGCAAGTATGTCTGGGTGACCTTTTCCAGACTCTGCTGCCTGCTCAGCTAAGCAGCGCTGAGTTAAAGGGACATGCCTCCCTCTTCGGGCATGCCAGCGCTGCATACTTTCTCCTTTTTAAAAAGTCGCGTCGGAGTTCTTCGCTACTTTGGGTTGCCTTTCTTGCTTTCTCACGCTGAACAGAGACAATAGAAAACACGGAAGAAGGGGTGGAATCCTGGACTGATGATTAAAATATTCATGTTTTAACTTGTCCTGATTTTCTTAAATTAAAACTTGAGGGGAAAAATGGTGATCTTTAAAAATACATAAAATCTGATCTTTTAAAAAAAAATTTGGCACAAAGG